TTATTAGAGGACAAAATAATATATGATAAACAATACAGACATCCACACACTCAAACCTATGAGGTTAAAATATATTGATGTCCAACTAATTCTCTTAGTTTTGAATACATGAAACAACAACTGAAAGCCAAATAGGAGGAAAAAATAAAAACAACAAATCCAAAAAATCCTCAGAGCATGTAACTGATACCCACATAGCAAGTAGTTGCTTTATTACATCCTGCAAAATCTGAAGAGGCAGATCATGGATTCAAATACCTTTTGAACCATTAGTGCTACTGATATTATTGAAAATCTGCTGAAAATATTGCTTATTGTGCTTACTATTCCAAAGCCAGTGTTTTCCAAAGATTTACCCATTGCATTAGCACAGATTTTTCTTCATACAGAAATAACACAGTATATCAGATAGAGCAGTGTTGCTGGTATGGTAAAATGTGTGGGGTTTTTATGGCAACCACTAAAATTATGCCATAAGTACAAAACAAAATTATCAAGACTACATGCAAACATATAGACACCATCACACACACCCCTAAATTATGATGTGGAACTTAAGCATTTTCTTTATCCCCAGTTTCAGTATGTCCCTAAGGAACATAAACCAAAAGAACAATACCCAGAAGCCTGACTGTAGACAGTCTTTTCACATCTAATTATCTTAGTATTTCATTTATCTGATGTTATCAGCAGAAAGTAGAGACAAATTCTGGAAAAAAATTGAAAACATTCCCAGAATAATTTCCACAGCTGCAAAGGCAAGCATTAAAAATATATTCTTGTGGCTGTGTTTTGTTCTTTGAAAGAACAGACAAACCAGGCTGAGGACATCTTGTAAAAAGTCATGATGATTTATAACAAAACATTTTAGAACATATGTTGCATATGCATGGTTAAAACCATTACACAATGTTCTATTTTCTGGCTAACTTCTGCTCAGCTGGTGACTTCAGGGGAGTAAAATATCATGAAGTTAAGGACAGTAAGGAGAAACTCAGATATGAGGCAGGATGCACCTAAATATACAGAATCACAGGGTGGACTAAAAATAAAAGTAGGCACACATTTGCATCACAGCATGTACCTACTTACCCACATTCCAAGCAGTGAAAGTAGATCCCTGTGTTTGCTCTAGAAGAACTGGCTAAGATCAGTTAAAGAATAACTAAAGAAGTAAATGCCACAGGGTTTTGACGATGCATATTTGGTGTTTAACTTTTGTTGAAGAGTGTGGATGGGGAACACTTGGCCAGCTATCAGACACCTACTGAGCCACACTCTCATCCCTCTACTCAACAGGATAGGAGGGAAAATAAGATGGAAAAGGTCATTGATCATGTTAGAGACAGAGAGATCACTTGTCAATTACCATTCTAGGCAAAACAGTGTCAGCAATTGTGAATTAAAAGATATTTGGATAGTGAGAAACTAACCCAAAAGATTAGAACAGCATATTGCCCTTTTCCAGGCTCAGATTCACTCCCCTGCCTGTCCAGCATTGTTGTCCTTTCTTACCTATGCTTTCACAGGCATCACCAACTTCAGTGATTGCCTCAGCTGTAGCCTGCAGTGGATCCACACCTTACCAATTCCTTGCCTTCCTTGTCCCTTCCTCTGAAATCATATTGTATCAGCAATGTTTGAGGAATGCTTATATTAATTCTCCTGCCTGAATAATGTTCCCAATTCACAGATCTAGGGACACCATGCATTTCTCCTGTGTCTTTGATTTTTTTTCACCCAAATTCCTGTAAAATAGCCCTCATGACAATGTGTCAACAATGACCTGAAGCATGGACTATTTCCAAATATACTCTTTTTTCTTACGGTTATAACCTCTGCATAACACTTCTCCAAAACAACATTACACTTGAAACTCCAGCTGATACCATGAGATTGTATTTTACAGCTGTTATATTTCAGCATTTTTGAGCTCATGGTATTTTCTATGATTTCATTTGAATTCTTCAAGAAATAATTTCTATTCCCCCACTGCAGATAGGGATCCTATTATAAGGCACCTTATCTCATGGGCAGGGTTCTTAATGCTTATCATAATGCCACTTTTCTATTTACATACTAAGATTGACAAATAGATTCTATCCATATTTTTGTTTACTGAGCCATTTCCTGTATAGAAGCAAATTTGATTTAAAACAGCTCTGAAATCGAGTGATGGAGAAATCTAATATGTGTCTGCCATACAAATGTAGGTGAAAGGAAGTGCAGCAGTCAAAAAGTCAAAAGGGAAAAAGAAAAGTAGATGGGGAGGTCACTCAAGTTTTATGCTTTTCTTCTAAACTTTATTTTCAGGAAAAGTTTTGCCACATAAGTCTCTTATATCCCTCTCAAGCTTCTTAATCCCGTATGTTTAATTTCAAAAGCAGGAACACAGAATAAAGATTTCTAAAAACTGAAGGACAGTAGTGTTTGGCGATCAGAATCAGGAAGACAGATCTGATGCTCACAAAGGCTCATATGATTGTTTCAGGACTGATATGACACAGAATTAGAAGTGTCTTAGGAACAGAAGAATTAAATTATGGAACAAAGCTGCAGAAACTTTTACATAAGTGCTGTTCACTTCTCCTTCTCATCATTACTTTTTCTCCTTTGTTAAACAGATCAAAAAATCATTCCACTGGTAGGTACTTGGCATCTCAAACCCATCCTCAAGCTATTTCTATACATTCAAAATAATTCATATGCAGAAGTGCAGCATTTAATCTTCATGAAACAGAAAATTTGAGCTGAAATCTCATGAGAAGTCCAAACTTCTCTCTGAACTACTCTATAAATCCTATTTTAAAATGCTGTCAACTTTGAGAAAAGATCTGTAAATGATATCATTTCATGAAGACCTTTTTTCTATGAAAAAAACTGAATCATTCCAGTACTCTGGTACCACAGAGAAAATTGTTTTCAGACTAAAAGTATGTGAGAAACATAGACAGAAGCATGAAAATACAAGTTTCCTACCTTTTAGTCACTGACTACAAGACTAGGTTTGGATCACTCATCTTACTAGGAATTTCCCAGTAAAAGGGAGAATGGTGGTAGGAGCAGTCCCTGAGATTGTGATAGTAACAGTTCTTCTGGCAAAGTGTGTAGCGCAGATGGTGTCAAAGATATGCCAATAACTTAAGCAGGAGCTTCCAATAAAATCTCTTGTAGTGCATGTTACACTCGGTGAATCAAAGTGAAAGGGGCAACCAAAGCTCTTTGGCTCTTTTATTCCACACAGAGGCAGTTTAACTACTGTATATGCAAGCACATCCCTCAGGGAAAAGCCTGTGCTCCAGATGTATTTATGTTTGTCCCAGGCATAAGCTACCTCTAAGCAAGCTGATTCATAGTCTCCAGAGAAGAAAAATCATCATCAGAAACACAGAAATTACTTCCATCTGATCTACCTTCAAGTGACAGAACCATAAAAATGTGTTTCCTCAAGTATTCCTTTGAGCTCTTTCCAGCTCATCATCGCATTCAATGATCAAAATATAAATGGTTTTAGAACATGATAGCCTCCTCCTGCTTATGAACATTGCTCAGAGATTTAAAACCACACACAAGCCACACTAAGGCTTCTACTAGAAACCATCAACGTAGTTATAACGCTGTTCTCAACATAATTAAGCTTCTTTTTCTGAAACTGAGATTGGAATGCACACTGCTGATGACATCATTTACAGACAGAAAACCAACACATAAGGTTTAGACACTGAAGTGGCATCTTCATGTTGGTGTATCTGTTTTAATTAGCTTTACTTTTCATGTAGAGTAAATAAAACATTACAGAGTCAGCCAGACAGATAAGTGACAAACTGTTTTTCAAATAGCTCCATGAAATGAGCAAGAATAAAGCTTGAAGAGTGTTATATTTACCTCTGTAGCTCCCAGGGCACTTTTAAGAACACTGGGTCAGGTACACTAAGACACTGAGAAAATGTGCAATTTCTTTCCCACTGAGCTGTCAAGGCATTCATGCTGTGAATAGCTAACACCCTTCTTTGACAACCAGGCAAATATTTCTATTTTCTGCCATTCTAGTCATGAAGTAGCTCTGTGTTGCCTCAGTTGATTTAGTGCCAATTCAAGTCAGACTTTAGATGTGTGAGCTAGTAACCGGACAAAATATTCTTGACGAAGCCTTGTCACAAACTCATAGACTGCTGCTTAATACATTTCCAAATAGTTAGATAGTAAAAGAGGTTGTAAAGCTGAAAAGGCTGCAGACAAGCAGAACATGCATTCACTGAACTGCCAGAATTTAGATTTTAATAGCTCATACAATCCAAATATGCTGTTGCTGCTATTTATTGTTAACATTGCTTAAAAAAAACCATGTAAAATTACATGAGGCTGTTGTTCCTTGAAACCAATTCTTTATTTCCCTGGAAATCCTTTGAAAATAGATGTATTTAGAGAAGCATAATTGATAACCCAGTCCCTCTGGGCAGAACTGAGGCAAGGCTAAAGGAACACATCCTATTCAAGTGGCAATTGTGCATAGATACTATAAACATTATTTTTTCTTAAATCTTTTCAAATACCAATTTCTGATTACATTGCACTTGCACCTATTGACCAGAAGTTTCCATTACCAATACCATAAAAGTGGAAGGGAGAATGAAGGGAATACGTCTTTTAATGGGGACAGATCCCACAGAACCTGCTCAGGGATCACTGGATTAGTACTTCACAGTTGGATTTTTTTTCCCATAGGATAAGAATAAGCAGGTAGTAATAATGGTTCAGTGTGTGAATACTCAAACACAAAAAGCAATAAAATAAATTATTTAGAGCAAAGATTTTTGCCAAGAGTTTAAAGCATGTTTGAGATTGGAGTCTGTCCTTTAAGCTATGATGCATTACACAGTGTTCCCTTACTCAGAGCTTCTATTTCAGGCAGGATTTGGTTTAGTGATTTAACTCCCATACTTACAATCTACAGAGAATTAAAACGTCCATTAACCGACTATACCTTGAACAGTACTTACCAATACTGGCGTAACCAGGAGTTGATGGATCTCCTCCACTGTTCAAGGAAACCATAAAAGCTTTATCAGCAAGATCTGTAGTCTTTGGTAAGTCACAAGGATCAATGTAAAGAAGAACACCACCAAACCCTGCATCTTCCAACAGAGAAAGCTGAGGGAACAAAGCAATATGGATGATCATCAACACAAACAATGTCAGAACACATTATTTTTTAGTTTTGTTACTGTTTAGGTAGAAGCTTTATCATGCATCATGTTCTCACTACACAATGCTCTGTACAAACCCAATAAAGACAGATGCAGTGCCAAAGTGCTTGTATTATAGCACCAGCAGCAATGAAAAGACAAAATCAAAACCCCCAAAACCTAAATCTAATTCATGTTTCCCAATTCATGGCAAAAACTCTCTTCAAAACCTAATGACAAAAAGAATTCCTATTTTTACATTATATGTAGGACATTTTTGAAACATGGTGCCAACATTCACCACAATTCCATTTGAGATTTGCAACTGCTCCACTTTCATGGGGTGTTGGAGATTATCTTCAGATGAGCTACTGACCATGATTCAGTAATGCACACAAAGAGATACCAGAGGAACCACATTTCTCCCTACTCACTGGACACTTTCTAGACTTACAACCTTAACATACCTCCACACAATATAAATGCCACCTTGAAAATGCCTCAGTTTTGAAACTAATCTCACTAAAACATCTTGAGTTGGTCTTCCATATTTACCATATTATCATCTGTAAGACATTCTTGCTTAATTTATCTCTTCAAGGACATGTGCATAGCACATACTAGATGTTTGCATACATTGACATCAGCCTTGCACAGGATTTCTGGACACAGCTACTCTCCAGTTAAGACAGAAAACAAAAGGAGTTTACTGATTATTCAAAAAAAATAAAATAAAATTTAGAAAAACAGCCTATCTTACCCAAACCTTGGAGTCTGCCTCCAGTCAGACAGACAGCTTTATTTCTGTGTCATAAGACCATCAAAACTTGAGTTGGAACTGGAAATTCTGCTTTCCAAAAATCTATAGATCTGAGGCAGCAAATCAGGCAAAGTTCCCCAAAGTCAAGGACAAAAGCATCCAAGTACAGTAACTTGCAGAAGACTTTTTGACTGGAAAACCTCAGGTTCTCTCCTTCACAGAGAACTGAAAAATAAAGGGATTTTATTCTGAATCAGATGAAATCAAACTGTAATGTGGCAAATACTCCCATGAAATGAGATGACCTTTCTGTGTAATGCTCTGCATATTTGGAATTGGTTGAAGACTACTACAGTGATACAAGGCTGTATTAATTTTTCAGACAGAAGCAATTTGGGTATTTAAGGATTATCTGACTATTCACTATGCTGCTCTACTGATGACTCTCCAAATGGTTCCACATGGTCTGAGGAATTACCACAGGTATATGTTGTTTCTGAAATACACAACTCTGATTCTTTACAAATTCAAGAACTTGTTATTTCACCTCTGTTTCTCAGTTCAATTGTCCTACACCCTCTATATTTTAGACCCTTCATGTTTTTCCTGTGTGTGTGTATACATATCTATATGTAATTTTCAATTTATCTCCTAGTTGCTGATATTAAGGAATATTTATGCACAGTTCTTTGTGGCTTTACAAGTATGTAAATGACATGAATATATGGCATTCAGTTTAAACCTCATAAGCATTTGGTGTTTAGTTCTGCTTTTCTTGACAGCTAAGACAGAAAAAATTTATAAAAATAGCAACCTACTATTTGCCATTTCTATAAGTAAACACATCTAATATTGTGATTTGCTGAGATTTTGACACTCAACTGAATTCAGTTAAACAGAAGCAAGTGAACCTGTGAATTACTTAATCTTACATACCTTATTCAAACAAGCAATCCCTAGATAAAAAAGGAATTCTTTGAGAGAACAGTATTCAGGTGAACGTGAGAGTGAGAGAATGTCACTACCACAGATGCTTAAAAATGTAGAGTTAAAAAGATATTACAGACCTTAAAAGAAATGCAGGAATAGAGATTTCCAAAACGGTAGGCTCATTTATTATCTATTGTTCTGTTTGCAATTCATGTTCATATTCAGATATTGAGCTAGAATTTAGTTGCACAAATAATGGATGGGAAAACTATGGGAGAAGCAGGATAAATCATAGCTAAATGGTGTGATAGCCAGGATTTAAAACAATTGCCTTTTCCTGCATCAATATCTGGTATTTTTTAAATTAATCTCTAGCTTATTTAGCAGCACAGAAGACAGGAAACTTCTGTTTGTGGGGTTGTT